TAACGTTCTTTTGCAGAGAAATATAACCATTCTTTCATAACAGGTCTTATTCACCTCATTGTTTAGTAAATTGGCTTTCTGAGGGACAAACAGAGGGTCACAGAAACTTGAGCCAGTTGCCAGAAAATACATCTGCTGCTTTTCTTAATAATGCCTTTAAATGAACATCTGCAAACCTCTTGAGACTATTGACTGATTGTGTCTTCCAAACTCTTAACACAGAGAAAATAAACAAACAACCACCCCATATTTTAAACCTTGGAAGCATCAGCTTCATTTCCTCAAGAAGAAAATAAAGAATGAAGCTGAAACTGATTATACTTTCAAGTAACTTGTCTATACACAAAAGAAGTCCTGTGACAGAGCCTTGATATTTAAATTAATGAGAATACATAAATATGTATGTGCTCACACATATGCGAGTACACACACATAAATGTATACCATTAAATTCAGTGGATAGTAGCTCATTGTTACAGAGTTGTCTAAAAGTGTGTTTATATAGACAGTTATATATCCTTTCATAATAGTAAAGCCAGTAGCTTTTTCCACCTCTGCTTCTTAAAAATAACGCATTAAGCCTAGTGGGAAGGGTGCTCTGTGAGCACTGTAGGTTGAAACATCCTCTGATGCTGAGGAATCTACTATATTAAAGAAGTCTTTTAGTGTTTTGGCCAATATGATCTGTATTTAACATATTCACAGGATAACTGAAAATGAAACATGAATATAGAAAAAAGTTCAGATAACAATGGATAACAATATCTGCCACTCAGTTATGATTGTAGCACTTCCTTCTAATGAAAACATCCAGTCATTTCTATAATAAGAACTTACTTTAAAATCCATAATTAAAAAGTATCACCAATGTGCTCTTCTTCATTTCAGCAAATTCAGGAAAAATTGCTATTTCTGAATTGCAACTGTATAGTTATATTGATGCAACTATAAAGTAGTAACACCACCAGCCCTTTTTTTCCTACAAAGGATGACCTTTTAATTTTCTGACAGTAGAAGAATAATTCTTATGACTCTACCTTCACCCAGGCCTCCAGGTTTTGAAGCAAGGACTTAAAACACTAAAGGGGTGGACTTTTAAAAGGATGTACCTTTTTGTAATTTATAACAGATAAACACCCCTTTCCTTCCACCCAGAAATGGGGAGGGGGTGGGGAGGGGGGATGGATACGAAAATCAGTAAAAATGCTTCTTCCCAGTGGAAACATTAAGTATAAGTCTGGAATTCTTTGTATGAATTTACTTTCCTGGATGCACAGAAGCTCAAGTTCAATTAGCAAAAGGCTGTCACTCACACAGCTGCATACACTATGAATAAAGGCACTTTGTTAGGCTAAAGTAGATGTAGGTATAAATGCCCTGAGGCTTAGTTGGGACTAAAATACACCTCTCTCTAAGTAGTCTGCCTACTAAACTATGAAACAACGTGCACTGCCCTGATATTTTCACTAGATTCATCTATATTGTCAGCTGAGCTCAGTGGAATTTGAAAGAATTAGGTTTTGTCGGTGCTTGCCTTGCTGAACAGCCTGCAGTCTCTTGATGACACAAGTGCCATGGCTCTGGATGCTGGTCAAGAACCTTATCCATTTCAGAGTCAGTCTATGTGTTTAACTGAGCAAGGGAAGAGGCATCACAAGATATGCAGAACAAGGAGTTTCAGGTGCTCGGAGAAGTTTTTGTCTAGAACATTATGTGTTTAGACAATGTCAGGCAGGTAGGGAAGCAATGCATTTCCCAATTGCTTGCCCGGATATAAATACATACATTTATTCTAATAGAAATTTATACTCTCAAATATAGTGTTGAATCATATCCGCAGGTCTAACACAATTTGCAAGATTAGAGTAACTGCATGATCTTCAATTTCTATAGGTACTACAAAAAAAATCCATCAGCTGTGGTAAGACATTCAGATCTTACTCTTATGAGAAAAAACCCATGTGAAAATGAACAAATGAAAGTTTCATCAGTGTTAAAAAAAATAAACAAAACCAGATGTTTGTACATTAGAATTTCTTTTTCCATTTCAGATGCTTTGCTAAATCTGAAACTTCCCCTAGCATAGAAAATAATTTTGAAAGTGAGAGGAGGGGAAGCAACGCAGACACTTCTACAAGAATAGAATAAATGAAAAAAAACCCCAAGCACTACTTTACACCAGATATAATGTTTAGGTTTCCTTTCTAATGTTTAAATGAGGTAGGGATATTCTGGAATACCATACCCGAGAAAAATGTTAGCAAAAATAAAAGAGAGAAGGAGAGATTTTGGTTCCTGATACAATAGAATTTTTTATATTGATTTTTTTTTTAATTCTTAGTCTTATAACATTTTATAAGTAAGTTTTCTTTGTGTATTTATGTGAATTAAAGATCTCCACACACCTTAAAATCTCAGTAAAAAAAAAAAAAGACAATTCAGGTTGCTTTAGAATAAGTAATAGCCCAGATTTCATTAATATTATATTAGAATAATGACAGCATTCAGATTTCATAAATAATGTTACTCAATATAAAGAAATTATCTAATAAACTCTGAAATTTAAGCTAAATAAATGTTTCTTTCTTTTGGCATACATTGATATTTCCATTAGAGTGGAAAAAAAATGAATCTGATATTTTATTGCCAACATATTGAGCTATAGCAAAATTGTTTAACCATAAAAGTGACAGAGATAATGCCACTGTCTTCACAGCAGTACATGACTAATTTAATAATTATTTATCTATTTATCACAGAATCGCAGAATGGTTGAGACTGGACAATACCACCAGAGGTCATCTGGTCCAATATCCCTTCTCAAGCTGGGTGCACAATACCTAGAGCACGTTAATCAAGACTGTGTCCAGACAACTTAAATATATCCAGGGAAGGAGACTCCACTGTCTCTCTGGGCAACCTATTCTAATGCTCAGTCACCCTCACAATAAAGAAGTACTTCCTCATGTTCAGATGGAACTTCCTATGGTTTAGTTTACACCTGTTGACTCTCATCAGCTGGCAACACTGAGAACAGTCCAGCTTCATCTTCACGGCACTTCACGGCATGTATATTGGTGAGATCCCCTCTGAGCCTTCTGTTCTCTAGGCTAAACAGGCCCAGTTCTCTCAGCCTTTCCTCATATGAGTGATGCTCCAGACCGTTCATCATCTTGGTAGTCCTAGTAACTCTTTCTAATGCAGCCCAGGATATCGTTTAACTTATTGGCCAGAAAGGCACATTACTGGTTCATGGACAACTTGTTTCATCATTCCTGTTGAATGGGAACCAGCCGTTCTGAATGAGCAATTAAGCTACTAGGCAAAATGGATTGAGACATTCCTCCTTTTTTATTATTTATTTAATTTTTTGATTTCTTTATGCTCTTTCTCCCCCTTTTTATCCTCTGTAAATTACCAGTTCCTTACAACAGGAAAAGTGCATAGATGAGAACAGGGGGCAGGTGAATCTAATCAAACTTAATCTCATCTAATCAAGTCATGTTTACTTTGCTCTAAACAAGGGCTTCAGGCACTTGCATAAGCCTAAAGGGAGTCAGAGCATGAGAGCAATAATTCACAGCACTTTTCTATTTGAAAATTCAGTTTAAGAAACTTTCACCCATCTTTTGCACATAATAAAAAGAGGGACTATATTTCATTAAATTTCTTGTTTGGAATAAAATGGAAATAGTGGGTTACATTAGCTTATTTGGTACAGTTTTCAGAATCTTTCATTATTATCTGATTTCTTGTGCGTTTTTTTGTTTGCGTTTTTATAGCTAAATGAATCTTTTGGTGCCGTTCATTCTAGTTTCTCATGTAATATGTTTGCAAATGCAGAATTAGGACTCATCAAGCCATAACTGATTTATTTTCCAGGGACTTTCACAACCTCCAGGTTAAACATCTATGGAGACTACACCCTATTTTAAGGACTTACTTCCTCTTCAGAAGCAGCCATGTAATGTTGAACTGACATACTCTACAGCCTTTGAAGCATGCACCATTGCCAAAGTGAAACCAGAACTCCGCCCAACAAAGTGTATACTTTAGAGCACCTCGCAATCATGGCTTATGTGGACGCTCCAGAAGCTTGGGTCAATGTAATACACATAACCCTCCCTAAAATGTTTAGACATGGTTATTACGGTAGAGATTACAACACATTTCTTGGATATGCTATTCTAAATACTTGAGAATTTTAAAAATCTGACTATGAATATAAATGATATTTTAAATATTGAACATTTCTGAAAAAAATGAATATCCTTTCTTAGTGCCTGTCCATTTCTTAAGTTGTACTTAAAAAAAAACAACCCTAAACTGCTTTAGTTTTTTTATTTTTGCTATTGTACAGATCCTATATATAAATCTTTTGGTCAGTGGAATTCATTAATTTATGGTGTTTAGGGTAACCAGCAAAATAAGTGTCAATCTCTTTATACACAGCACCACAATGCTATCTCTGAATAAAATAATGTAGACCCCATCTTCAAATGACCTTCCAAAACCAGAACAAAAACTGATGTGAGCAAATATTTAACATGTGTGATCTCCCATGACTCCCAGAAGATTGAATGATTATTTATATTGCTGCTGAGTATGGCGAAAAATATAATATCCCAAAGAGAGGACGCTGTTGTTACTAAAAATCTATGATCCACGGTCCTCTAGAAAGGTGTTGTCTGCCGATTACTCAGAAAGCAGAACTGATTTAGTGCACAAATTATGGAAGTCTGTGAAACTGCAAGTTTTAAGTATAAATGTAAGAAAAAATTAATTAAGTGGTAGGACAAGACAGCTATTCAGTTGCATCTATCTATTCCACATTTTTATCAGTAAACTGGCAGGGAGAACTGGAGTTTCTTTGGTACCTTAATCAACTTCAGAAGGTACTGATTAAAGGGTTAGAATGGGGAGCAATAGGCAGGAAGAGCTAGCAGTAAATTAGTGAAGTAGAGTCAAGAGAAGCAAAGTAACTGAGAAAATGATAGGAAACAGGAACAGATTAGAAGAGATCAGTAATTGGAAGTGTAATACTGGGGTGGAAACTTGATTTGAGTGGTATGTGCAGACAAAGAGCTGTAAAAGAACTACTGTAACCCTTGTTTTCTTTTTCTTTTAACACAGACATTTCCTTACACACAATTAAAGTAGATTTAGGGGATTAAGAAATAAATGTCTCAGAGCCTGTGGGAATAGAGTTGTTAGATCTAGTGTCTTGGCCACATTCCAGTTTGGATATTGCCCCAATTTTTTAAAGCTGCATATGGTAACTCTCTGTACTTCCTGTCCTAAACTGCCAAGTAGCCTTGCTTTATGCTGTCAAACAGCTGCTTATTCTTTAGTAGTTTGTGAGTCTTTGGTGTGAAAGATGGTATATCCAAGAGCCTGGATCAAATAAATCTCTTCAAGTTGCCAAAAGGAAGTTTTATATGGCAAAAGTTGTAAAGGTAAAGCCTTCCCAGAGTTCCTGCTGCAATGGATGTGTGAAGGGCAAGGAAAGGAGCATATTCAATGCATTTGAATCAGATTCTGGAAGTGGGACTTCTGTTTTAGTTCTCATTGTACTTTACAAGCTTCTTTTTTTGGGGACAAGGAAAGGGATTTGGAGTCATTGTGATGATCCAAGAGGTGGCATTTGCATACACTGTGTTGTGAGAGTGGATTTTGATACAGCTACTTTCATTCACTCAAAAGCATAAGGATTCTGAGTTTCTGAGTTTACACATCTCAGTGTGTGTGTGTGGGGGGGGGGGGGCGGAATCAATGCTGAGGCAGAACACTGACCTCCTTAAGTCTTTTTCTGAGCAGTGAACTGAGTAATGAATTGTGATATCATCTGTACAATTGTCATTAATGAGAAATTAATCCTTCCCTTAGGAAGTAAGACCTGCTGGATATCATTAGTCAAAGTTGATAGACTTGCTTGCCAGGACAAATTTCTTCTGGCTATATTTGCACAAGCACAAACAGACATCTTGACTTCTGTGACTGCTTGGCTAGTGCAGTAAAATATAGTTATAATCTTGGTAACTAAAGGAGAGGAAAGGGAGTCATAAAATAATTGCCTCCTTTCTGTTTGCACCCAGGGCTCTTTTATAGTTTATTTCCTATCTGTATTTAACAGTTTCCACTAAGCTGATTCTCAGATTCATTATTCTTTTTCTGGGCCTTATTTGCTTTTATGTTTTCAAAGCAGTGAACAAATATCATTCTACCAAGAATGCTGCTGCAGACTCTTATTTCATTGTAACTCTTGTTCTTGCCTAATAGCTTTCTCTTCTGCTTCATTCCTCCTAAGGTTGATGAGTATTATAATGGATGGTTTTGAGGGTTACTGGGTGAAGGTAAAGTTCAGGCAGGTTGCCTTTGAATGACCTCCAGTGACAGTTGTAAATGGGGTAAACAGTTGTAATAGGGAGCTCAGGCTTACAATGGCCCACTTCACTATTTGGGGGGCTGGGGAGGGAGGACTGGTCTTTATTAGCTGAAGAGGTTGTGCTGCTAAGCAGCTTGCAGTTCACATGCTAACGGTTAATTTTAATGGACGGGTTGTGACATTATTCTGAAAGAAGTTAAAATAACATTTTCACAGCCTGAGGTAATATAAGAAGTCTTGCTGTAATAAAACACCCCATCTATACAATACGAGGAAAAAAAGAACTTTTACACAATAGAAATCTATATACAAGAGAACTCATTGCCACGTGTTGCAGTTTGTGCTTATTAATGATATTCTAAGACTTTTTGTAATATTAATGGTACGTCATTCTCTGGACAAGGTATATTTAGTGTTATAGAGACATTAGTTAGAATACCAATTTCCCTTGACATATGTTACTGCAGAAGACATGCAAATGTTAACACCCCTTAAGACCCTGTAAGTAAATGTGGGAGGTTTTTTTCTGCTTTAGATTTTTTTTGTTGTTGTTGCAATAAGCATTTAAGATCAAATGAATCATTCACAACTGATTTTATTTTAAACTGCAATTACATGTGTGGATTGTTTCTAGTGATGAATGTAAAAATATCAGGAGCTATGTAATATGAAAAGGTTCCATGCACTTCCATGCAGTGGAAGCATCGATGGAAATGAGAGTGCACTTTTGTTAAACACTTTAGTAAGAAGAATCTCAAAAAGATTTTTGTTGTTTTTTTTTTTTTTCCCCATATGTAATTCAGTCTTTGAAAACAGACACAAATATAATCTTATAACAACATAATTACCACCTCATTTTATGGCAGAGGTAGGATTGTTTGAATGCCCTAAAAGGTTATTTTGATGCCTATGCATATTTGAATTTCTTTTAACTGATGCTTTAAGAAGGCATTGTATCATTGCAGTTATTTAATCATAAACTTGACTTCAGCTTAGTCTAGCTTTTGTTTGCAACCATTGTATAGTGATTGTCTTGACAATGAACACAGTCTACTTGCAAGGGAGAATCACAAATACATGCAAAGTATCAACATTGGGTCAGAATAACAATGTTTAACATGTTTCTTTATATGAATTCATGAGTAATATAAGAATGTTTGTGGGAGATGTATAATTACCTGTTCCATTACCAGAAGACTGCACCATTATTATCTGTATTGATGTGGGCAGGAGGGCACAGGCAATATAGTTAAGAAACATATGCTATTTCTGTGATCTAAGTTACCAAGGAGGTGATGCATGCCAGTCATAAAGGAACAATTGCCATGACTTGTTTTCTCAGCCAACTGCATGCTGTTTGGCAAGTTAACAGGGGACAATTACATGGGTTATATATAATGGAATGTCTGAACAGCTGCTGTGGTGAGAGAAGTCAACAGGTTTGTCAGCTTTTAGAGTAATTAAACCAGCAGGAAATCTATTTCCAGGTGGCTACTGGAAAGTATGGAGTCTAGTGAGGCAATGACGGGTGAGAAAATGAGAGTGGAGATGTGTACAAACATCTCTCTCTTTTTATAGAACAGCAAACAATTCCCTGAAATTTATGAAGTTGAAACAGGAATGGAAATGCTGGTTCAGTCTATCCGTCAGTGTAGATACAAAGCCTGTCTCCAGCACAGGTCATAACCAGGTACTTGGGGAGGAGGGTGGACAGGACAGGTGAATGACTAACGTGTTCTCAGATTCCAACTCATTTCATCTCAAGGGATTTCTGGAATCCCATATGACTTCTTTACTTAATCACCCGCAGTGCAAAAGTCTTCCAATGGACATCCAAACTTCTCATGAACTTTGTAAGCTCTTTGCAACTGCAATGTCCTTTTGCAAGAAGTTCCACAGCTCTGCTGCCCACTGCATGAAAAAACAGTTCCTTTCTGAACTTGCATGTTACTTGTCTCCACTGATGGTCTCTTATTCTTTCACTGAAAGAGATGAAGAACTGTCAGCTCCTACTCTTTCTCTTGATCATCATTATGTGTACTACTCTTATATCCCCCTTTTCTCAAGCTGTCTTTCCCATGCTGAAATATCCCATATCATATTACACACAGAAGTGATTTCATAGCCTTTTTATTTGTTTTACCTTCCTTTGAAGCTAGTTATGGAATGAAGTTATATTTGATTGGGTAAGTGGAGTGATCACAATCTCATCTTTGCTCACTTTATGTGAACTAGATTATATAAGCTGTAGTAGATGAACCAAGAAAGAAAGATATACTGGATGATCCCTTTGGTAATTAGTTACAGAAAAGCTCAAGAAAATAAATTAATCCCAATGCCTAAACATAATTCTTTGCTATTAATTCAGTCCAAGTCAATACACTGTGGAGGACATACATTTCATAGCACCACATTGATGCAGTAGTAATTATCTTTTTTTTTCAGATGGCTAAGTGCTGGAGAGGGACTTAAAAGCGTGCAGGAACTTCTTTTACAAGAAATCTATCAAAACCAGAAGTGAACCATAACTGGAGGCATTCACTTGTCAAATCGTGAACAAACATGGTTAACCCAAACAAGAATTTTATATCATTGTTCAAATAAGTGCCTAATCCAGCTAAGCTACCACCCAGTACAGGAAGCTGGAAACCAGGAATCTTTACAGATGATTGAGGGATAGAAGCAGCTCACTGTGGGTAGGAACCAGTGGGTAGAATACAGGGGAAAAATGGATTCAACTGTGCATGCAAATCAGGGACAACTTTGAGAGAATTTCAAAGAATTGTTGTTACCCACATTGTTGAATGAACAATTTTGTAATTGGTCTCAAGACATTTACATTGTTTATTCCCAATAAAAGCTATAAAGCAACTTTACGTTTCAAAGAAAAGATACAGTGTGTTCCATGGTCACACCCATGGAGATATGGAAATAATGAAGTGAAAATTAGGCATACAAAGGATTCTGTATAATGATTTTTAAGATAAGGCAAGTTAAAATGCTTTCAGATTTCTTCATAAAAAGCTTCTTAATGGAAAAGAAAAACCTTAACAGATACAGTAAAACCAACTACCACATTCTTCATTTTTTCTCCTACATGCATACACACTTCTTTAAATATAAATACTTGTGCAAGTAATATAATAGAATTGTTAATAAGTTATTAATGAATATGTACTCTTTCAGGTGTTACAAATTAGCTATAATTAACTGCATTATTTCCACTAATAGTGTATGTTTGCTTTGATCTCTGACTTTTTTTCAAGATTTCATTGAAAAAAAATAATTAAAGAATAGTTTTCTGCCTTAGATTTTGAGTATGTTCCTACACATTATACCTAGCCATTGTTGTTACACAGAAAAAAACTACATATGTTTTTCTACTAGAAGTTTTGGATGAAGCATCACCCTTGTTTTCAATGCTCTTTCATACCTAATTTCAATTTCAGTAAAAACCACTATAGCTCTGGACCAAATACTAAAATGAAGCTGTCATTGTAAATTCACTTTATAGCAGTTATTAAATATAATTTCTTGAGTGGTTAGTATTGGCACTTGCACAGAAAATATCATTAATCAAGCAAATTTTCAGGTGCCAGAACTAGTAATTCTGTATTTTGAGACGTAACATTTAGGCCATTGTTTATTTATGGGTCGCTGTTGTTACCGTCATTAATTTTTAATACTTTAAGTATGTGTGGCTATTCTTAGGTACCTGCAAATGTACTTATACCATGAAACATGCATAAATATTATGGCAAGAGTAATTTCAGGAAAAAATACTAATGTATTTTCACTCCACCTGGAGTACTAAGAATGAAGTACCATCTACTGTAAGAGAAGATCAGGTTTGAGACCATCTAAGGAACCTGAAGGAGTAAAAGTCCATTAGACCTGGTGAAAAGCATTAGAGGTCACGGGGAAAGTGGCAGATGAAGTTGTTAAGCCACTATGTATCAGATTTGAAAACCTGTGGCACCTCAGTGAAGTTCACAAAAACTTGAAAAAGGGAATCATAACTGCCATTTTTAAAAACAGGAAAAAGGAAGACCCAAGGAACTACAGGCCAGTCAGTGTCACCTCAGTGCATGGCAGGATCATGGAAGAGATCCTCCTGGCATCATCTACCTGGACCGATGCAAAGCATTTGATACTATCCCACACAACAGGCTTGTCCCTAAACTGGAGAGATGTGGAAACTTGGTGAATAAGGAATAGGCTGTGTGGTCACATTCAATAAATTGTGGTAAATGGCTTGATGTCCAAGTTGAGACCAGTGTTGAGTGGTGTACTTTGGGAGGTGACACTGGGATCAATATTACTGGTGCTGAAATGCTAACATCTTTGTTGGCAACGTGGACAGTGGGGTTGAGTGCACCCTCATCAAGTTTGCCAATGTCACCAAGATGCGTATGGTGTGGTGAACAAACTGGATGCCATCTAGAGGGATCTTGACGTGCTTGAGAGGTGGGCCTGTGTTAACCTCATGAATTTCAGCAATACTGAGGTCCTGCACCTGAATTGGGGAATAGTAAGGACTATTTCTAATTTCCAGTCAGTTCTTAAGTTCCACAGACTTTACATTTGAGATGGAATAAATGATGCTGTGTTTTAAAAAAGACCTCAGTGTTTCTCACTGAATGCACTGAGGCATGTACAGAAGGCTAAAGGCTGGAAGCTGGGATAGGTGGAATCATCACATTGTTGTAATCATGGTTCAAAAAAGATTGGTTTCCAAGAAAACTGGCTTCAAGTTCTTCTCAGACAGATTTCCTTTACACATTAGACAAAATTGTAAACCAAGAAGGGATATGGTTACTTCAATACTGAATCTTGCAAAACCTAAATTTTTTGGTTCCTGTCCCATAGCCACATCCGTATTTTAAATTAGGCACATAAGCTGCTTTTACAATGTAGAGGGAGAATTAGATGCCTCAGAAACAGATCTAAAACAACCAACATGTTAGAAAAACAGATTTAGGCAACAGCAGGCAGCAGCATTAAACTGCATGCTTTACAGAGTGTTAAGCAACTCCTTTTCATACACGTTTCCTTTACATTTTTGTATTGTGATATCAACAATATCATGGTATCTAGATATTTAACTGCATTATGCCATGTAAATTCACTTTATATATCAAGTATCAAATCAGAACTAAATATACTGCTCAATTTTTAAATAAAGATCTGCATAACCCATAGCTAATTATTTGTAGAAAGTATCACACCACTATGGGAGCCTTAAAGTAGCTATCAACAGAAAATAAGATATTGAATTAGAAAATGCTATTTTCTTCTGTGTTTGTAGTCCTTTTTAATGCACATTACTAAATATCCACTCCAGAAATGAAGCAGAAGGGCTTATAAGACTCTACTTCATCCTGCTGGTTTGGCATTCCTGGCAGAAATTTAGGAAATGAAATGTCTTTACACTCTGTGCATGAAAAGTACTTTAGGACCCTGGAGCCCTGATTTATTATGTTCTTTGGGGATCTTTGTTTTCTTACTAATTTTTCCATTAGCAGCTCAGCAGCTTTTGGAGAAACATTTTCATGCTATGAGTGTATTGATTGCTGTTTTACATGAAAAATATCCTCTTTTCTGTTACCACCTTATCCTGTCATGCCAGGCAATCTTTAGCAAACTGTATTTCATTTCTCTTTTCTGCTTTATGTTGTGCCATATTTTATTCACACTTCATACTCTTATTACATGTCTGATATTTGTTTACTCAATAAGCTTGGAGTTGTCAGTATTTGTACCTCAGACACTCATAAATTGAATTCTAAGGATTATTGGACTTGCAGTTTTGTGTTTCAGGGCATAATACCACTGTCTATTTCTTTAAAAATAGCTCCACTTCAACTCCCTTGGCTTATTTAACGTTAAGGAATCTGGAAGACGCAACCTCTGAGGATAAACTGGGTAGAGATGCTTGGTGGAATTGAAACAAAACCAAAAATGATACTGCTTTGAAAAGAAACCAGATAGTGGCGACAGCAAAAGCTGACAGCTGAATGCAACACAGGTAGAAAATTCTACAAGAGTTAAGCTCCTTTTTGGTTTGCTTCCCTGATGTTTTGACAGTGATTTAGGTGAGTCCGGAGAGAAAATTACTAGGAAGAATGCCCTAAGCAATAGTGCAATAGTGCAATTTGGAAAACTGAGAGTATGCAGCCTGCAGTAAAAAAAACCCCATGAACATCCAGAGCGGGCTTATTAAGTGAGATGTTTTAGAGTAAACTTTTGGCATCTGAGTATAAAGAAGATTCTGAATTCTACACAGAAACACAAAATCATGTTGAACATTTATCTCAGGACACAATCTCTCAGGGAAAAACACTGAGCCTGGGGAGGTGCTACTATGCAGAACTAATTGATGATTCAGAGCATAAAAAAGGTTAGGATGACCTTTTTAATTTTAATTAAGCTTCTCTTTTCACTGAAAGGAAAAAAAAAAAACAGACAAAATGACTGAAAAGTAAAAAGCACCTGAAGGATATATGTGTAATCACTGAAAAAGGCATCTATTAAAAAGGAGGTATTTAAAATTCATCTTGTGTGAGGATACACTTCTTCACATGATGTTCAGCTGCCTCAGCTAGACGTATCAGTATTTGTGAGAAGTTTGGTGTCACTTGGGCGGTGTTGCTGATGTGCTGAATGACATCTTTGTCTCTAAACTGGAGAAACATGGATCTGATGGATAGAGAACTCGGTGGATAAGGAATTGGCTGGATGGTCACACTCAAAGAATAGTCAGTGGCTCAATATTCAGGTGGAGACCAGAGATGAGTGGTGTTCCTCAGGGGGTGGTACTGGGACAGGTGCTGTTTAACATATCTATCTATGACATGGACATTAGGATTTAGGGCACACTCTGCAAGCTTCCCGATGACATCAAGCTGTTTGGAGCAGTCAACACACTGGAGGGAAGGGGTGTTATCCAGAGTGACCTAATAGGCCTGAGAGGTGGGCCTGTGCAAACCTCATGAAATTCAACAAGGCCAAATGTAAGGTGATGCAGTTGGGTTAAGACAGCCCAAAGCACAAATACAGGCTTGGCTGAGAATGGATTGAGAGCAGCCCTAAGGAGAAGGACTTGGGGATGTTTGTTGATGAAAAGCTCAACATGACACTGCAATGTGCACTTGCAGGCCAGAACACCAAC